CGAGGAAGGAGAAGTTTGGACTTCGAGGCTAGGATTTGGGACAGCAGTGGTCTGCTCCGTTGAATGCCAGGGTAGAGAGAAGTCGAAGAGGAGGCAAGACAGGAGGTTAGGGTCAGATAGAAGAATCGCCCAGTTTGAGAAGGCTCCGGGCTCAGGCATTACCTTCAGGGGAGTGATCACCGCACGCAGCTCTCAGAAGTGTCGCTGAGAGCTGGCTCTGTGTGCAACACGGAGAGCAAAGAACCCCCTTCTCCTCGCCCAAAAGACGCACACGGTTCCTGCCACCCATTAACTAAGGCAGTGGGTTAAACAGGACATTTCTTGAGTTCCTTTTTTCTTTCCTTCCAGAAAAAGAGTCCAAGAACATAAACCAAAACAGATACAAAGTGCTCTGTGTGCGTGTGTGCGTATGTTTTTAAATAAACTAATTTTCAAGGTGTGTGCTGGGGTCAGCAATCCAATCTACTCTGCTGTGGACGACTCTAACCTTGGGGCACAGAAAATTCTCAATCTGCTGAGATTAAATTATGTTCCTCATCACAGAGAGCCGGTGTGGTAGGTGCTAGAGAGAGGAGATTTAGAGACTTAGCAGACGCGTGCCTTCTTTTGAGGGGTTTATCATCAAACGCAAGAGCCCCAGTGGTACAAACAAAGAAGCATTCAGCTGCTGACCAAAGTGTTCGCAGTGTGAACCCACTGAGAAGCATCTCAGAAGAGAGACTTGTGAAGCACATTGGGGTGGGGGTGGGGGAGGCCCAGTGATCTGTTTCACACACGCTATGAAGCACAACTCTACACTGTAGCATGTAGGGTCTTCATCCGTCAAAATCGGCTTGAGGACAACCGGTTTCCTCTCTTCCCTTCCCTTCTCGGTTCTCTTCTTTGGCAACTAGATCACAGCTAACTTCTTCCTCTGCCCCACAGGTGTGGCTCCCAAGAACGTTTATCCCTCCCCACCCCCCACCCCAATAAACATTTCACAAGCAAATCTATTTCAGCGCTTGCTTCCAATCTGAGTAGCTGGAATTAACCTGAAACAACAACCGTTGCCTTCAGTTCCACACCATGTTACCATGATGAATTTTATGAATGTCCACCCATTTTTGCTTTCTTCAGATATGATATTCTTGATGTCATCCCACATCTTATCTGGTCTTCGGTCATTAGAGTTGGATGTGGCGAATTTGTTCTTGAGGTGGTTTCTAAACTCATGAACTTATTCTAGAAATATTCTGGGCTATCTCTACCCATGATAACTCAGATTCAGGAAGTATTGCCAACTGCTTCCAGAAGGTCTATTCCAGTCCAACGCCCGGTACCAGGGATGCTAGGTCATCTTTGGGTTCATCTACACTTGCTTAATCTTCTTCAGCATAATCCTGACCGTGCATATGAGCAATTAATGGTCTGTTCTCCAACTGGCCACTGACCTTGTTTTGACTGATATGTAACTTCGCCAGAATCTATTTCCATAGATATAGTCAACTTGATTTTTGTGCATTCTACCTGCTGAGGTGCGCGTGTATAGTTGTCGTATGTGTTGTGGAAAAGCCTATTTGCGTTGAAGAAGTTCTATCATGCTATCTCCAGGCTTCATTTCTATCACCAAGGACATAATCTCCAACCACTGACCCTGTCTCTTCGTTTGCAGCCTTCCCATTCCAGTCACCGGTAATTATATCCGATTGAAGAAGTTGGTAGACTTCTTCCATTTCTCCATCACTGGCTTCAATGATCGGTGTATAAATTTGAATGATAATTGAATTAACTGGTTATCCCTATAGAAATATAGATACTCTTGAATGTGTCGTTCCTGGTACAGTATACCATATGCTTAATTTAGACAACAGGGAAAGACCATTGCATTCTATTTCATTTTCA